AATAAATTTTTTAATAAATTTGCTTGTACATAGGTAATAAATAATGCAACCTAAATAACCAGAGGGAGACTTTGTACAAAAATCGTTTGCTTGGTCACCTCTGTCTCATCCGTGTTTCTATCATGAAGCAGTTGTGTTTGCATAGCTGTGTTTCGGTTTGAAGGATGGGGTATGGCAGTGAATTTACAGGATACAGAGGAATAATACCTGAGTCTTCAGAAATAGCAACGCATGGGGGATATCATGGGCGAAACAGTACACTCTGTTATGTCCATGGTACTACTGCTCATGTCTATAGGTGACGGTTACTTTTCATCAGGTGGGCCATCAGCTTGTTTAACATTCTAAGTTGCATAACAAAAAAGACTTTTATCGTCATACCTATAACAGAAAAAAAACTATATATTCTTTGAAGCAAAATTATATACAATAAATATTTAAAATTAAAAAATGAAAACTATTTATTTACTAACTATTTATTTGAAACTATAACTAACTATTTATTTGAAATGAAAATATTCGCAAAAGAATTAAAGTGATCGACTTATCTTGAAGGGTAAGAAAGCTGAAGTGACAACTGGCTGGTCACATAGCTCGAAGAACTGATAACAGATGGGCAAGAATTGCTCTTGAGTAGCGATCTCGGACAGGTAAACGCAATATAGGATGAACTTTCACTAGATAAAGCGACGCCTTCATTTTTTTATTTAACACACCGTTTCACGTACATTTTCGCGGGTTCTGTACACCCATAACTTAAACGGTTGTATTAATCAGTTGGTCTGTTTGTATTGGTCTAGTTGTTTAATATGTATGTATAACATGTCTGTATTTAAAAGGAAAAAAGTATTTAAATATATCAATCAGTGCCCATAAAACAAATTTAGTTTGGCACTAGATGGAGTTTTATAATATAATATATCCAATGGTATTATTTGTATTTGATTCGTACGTCCTCTTAAATCTCTAATTTTAACTAACATTATTACTATATTTAACCTTACAATGCTTTACGTGTATATAATTTTAGGATTAGCAAAAACATTATAACAAAACATTAACAATATATAGTTTAGTTATACACGCAATTTGATTTTTAATGACTGAATTTAATAAGGTCGACGATATTCGTAGCCTTGTATTTAAGGACATAGGCTACTTTTTATCGAGGTCAATGAACACATCCTGGCCACGCAGACAAAGATATGGGTAAAAGTTAATTAACATATAAACGTATCATATCTCCTAAGTTAGGATATAACCTATTCGTGTATCAAATTTCCTTCAAATTCGTTCCGTAGTTATTGTGTAAAAAAGTAATAATATTCATCCATATATTGTTCTCCGTAAAACATTTGCTTTTATAGTAGTAAGTGTGTATATATATATATATATATATATATATATATATATATATATATATGTATAGATGGTAATAGTAATTTGTCAAATGGTATTTTGTTGTATCAGTCATTAACTTTCCACTGCTGAACAACTTTAATACTCTTTCTAGAACTCTTAATATAGATTTATTTTCAAAAAATATAATATCAGCGAGAGACCAACTGAGTAAGCAATTTTTTTGATTCATAATCATTTTGAATACCTATTATATGGATAAGAAGGCCATATTTTAATCAAATATTTAAATTTAATTTTTATTTTGTATTTTATTCATAATTTTTTTTTTTGTTTTCATTATTTTGTTTGTTTGTATTTTTTTGGTTAATTCCTATTTTTGTTGCTTTGTATTTTGGTGTTTCTTTTATCTATATTGTTGCTACTTGTAAAAACCTATTAGTGGCTTAATTTATGATCCTAAACTGTATCTATTGGCTCTGGTGTAGCCCTGGTTTTCCTGTGAATAAATAAATAAATAAAGGGGGGTTTTGCCAGTAGTTGGTTTACCTGTGAATAAATAAATAAATAAAGAGGGTTTTGCCAGTAATTGGCTTGACAGGCAGGCAGGCAGGCAACCGCAGTTTGGCTTGCGGTGATGTTTTAAGAGGACGCTGCTGCCTATTCCTCCACCATAAGCTTCCTTAGTCGTCTCCCACAGGAAAAAAGAGGTGACCTATTCTATGCCGGGACCTAAATGGCAATGGTATTTACTCGTATGTTATTACATAGTAGTAAAATACATACAGTATACGCTGTTGTGTCCATGATACTGTTCATGTCTATATTCGACGGTTACAGGTGAGCCGTTACATTTCAGCTTGTTTACCATTCTAAGTTAAATAAAAAAAAACCTAAATTTTTTTATAACATTTATAATTGTTATTATTAAAAAATTAAATTACATAACAATTTTTATACAGCGTCTAACGGAATGGATATTAGAAGCCAGCAATACAAATTTGATTTTATTAAATATTGTTTTTGGACTAAAATCCGATCAGTAGTTTTAGCTAATGTTAAAGATGTATAAAAGATAGCTTTACTCTATTTAATGATGCACCGCCTACGTATTTCTCGGTTTGACAAATCCGCCTAATGTACATAGAATTTTACTGTGCATTAAATTTTAAATAATAAATAAATAAATAAATATACTCAGATTACTGAGTAACATATATCTATAATCATCAAGACATACTTTCACATTTATAACACCAGTAGGATATACATTGCAGAAGTTTATTATAAGGAATTTGAACGTAAACTTGTTGGAAGTTAAAAGTTAAGCATATTGTTCGCAAGGTAAAGATGAGTTGTTATTAAGCCGAGCGGCGGCGCATTCGACCTCATGAAAAAACCTCTATGATAGAAATAATTAATGGAGGCGGCATCACAGCAAAATGTACGCAATAGAGCAGAGCTGTAAACTGAGAGGAGATTACTTTATGTGGCCAACATGATTTCTTTTATTTTTGTATATTTTGTATTCTTTCATTTTAATATGTATGTTATTTTATTTTTATTGTTATGTCGATATATGTTATATTTGTTCTTTGTACCTATGTTAGAGAGAAAATACAATTACATCGTTTATCTATCCACTTTACAAATCTACAAAGTGTTACTATTTAGAGTATTACAAAATATCCTTTTTTAACAGAAAATAAATCAAAATAAATGAAATGAAATGATGATGATTTATTGTTTTAATATTATAAAAACAATTACAATCTATTTATCGATTACTTCGCAACATAAGTCACTTCAGCTTAAAGATTTTTACTGTTTTCTGAAACCATCCTGAGATTGGTTAATTACAAGTGAATTCGTCTCAACGGACTAATTGAGCTGATTTCATCTTTACCCATTTCTTACACACGATACTACCCTTATATCGTAAACGTAGACGTAAAGAGTTAAAATTACATTTTAGAAGATATATCCATTAAAAAAATTTAACATATATTAGTACTTTTTCCTAAAAGTATCGATTAATTGTAACTTATTTAAGTTGCTAAATTAAATTAATTAATTGCCAATTGTTTCCTCATTGTGATTATTTCTTGTAATTGTTTATATTTATAATAAGTTTACTATTGTCGTCTTTTGGAGGAAATAATAAAGAATCTCTATCTATCTATCTATCTAAAAAACCATAAATATTTCAATCTGTCAAAAACAAATACATTATAAAATATAAAATGCCACATCCATTGCTCAAATATATTATAAAATATTATTATTCTTGTGTGAACTTTTTAACACCGTCACGCCATAAAGCCTCTTATGAAGAATTTGTAATAAGATATAATATAGGCACCATATGGACAGAATTGTTTGGGAAGTGTTGTAGAAAAGTATATATTATTTAAAAAAATACTCAATTATTATGAGATTGTATTATAAGATTAAATTGAAAAATAAAAACGATACAATACTCTTACGAATATATTAAAAAAAAAAACAAATAGTTCATAATGATTTGTAATGATGCTTATCTTTACCGATTATCCTGTCATCATATCAGCAGCCAATTGTCCACTGTTTACCATGCCTCCCTCTTTTGGGGTTTTGCCGTCAGTTGCCACGCAGGGCCAGCACGGCTAGCTCAGTCGGTAGAGCCTGAGACTCTTTACCGATTATTTTGATTTATATCTGGCTTATTTTAATTAATTCATGTATAATATTTTTTTATGCAACTTAGAATGGCAAACAAGCTGACGGCCCACCTGATGGAAAATGGTAACCGTCGCATATAGACATGAGTAGTACCATGGATATAATAGAACATACTGTTTCGCCCATGATACCCCCCGTGCATTGCCATTCCTGAGAACTTAGGTGTTTTTCCTCTGTACCCTGTAAATTCACTGCCATATCCTACCCTTCAAACCGAAACACAGCCATGCAAACACAACTACTTCACGGTAGAAACACGAATGCACGACAGAGGTGCCCAAGCAAACGACTTTTGTACAAAGTCTCCCTCTGGTAGTATATTCGTCACAAGAGGCTAACTGACCAGCTTTCATCCTCATCTTCATTTATCATCTTTCCCTGGGGATCGGCCAGTGTATACCGATAGCGCAGAAGATCATTCCATTCGCTCCTATTAAAAAAGGACCACTATCCCCGTATCAAGGCACTATCAGAAGTATAAGTTTTTTGTTCAGATTATCATATAACTGATTAGGTTACAAAATATTTTTGTTTTTACAACACCGGGGACAAACAAACATGCGGCTCACCTAACGGTAAGTGACTACCACTGCCCATGATCACCTACAGCACCAACGGTATTACAGGTGTGCTGCTGGCCTTTAAAAAAGGAATATGCTGTTTTCTTTTCTTTTATTCTTACTAATATCATAAATATGAAAATTTGTTTATTTCTTTGTTTGTTGTCTCTTAACGGTTTAACCAATCATTGTGGAATTGAACACGTACTATGTAGTATGGGGGTGGGCATAGCCTATTTTTAAATCTGCAGTCTACATATTCCGGTCACGGTTCCGGTAAAGAGGAAGTCACCCATAACAACTAGTACTTAAATCAAAGTATATTGGAATAGTAAAAATTTATTGTCAAAAGTTTCGTGAGTACACATTACAGTTTAATATAAGAACTCATGACTAAGGATCCCGGATGGTTCCGAAACTAGTCCAACATTTTCGACTATAATACATATATACTAATCCGGGTATTCTTACATATAAATAATATGTTTTCAAACTTATAAAGATGAATTCCAAACTGCACCAAATGTCATTAATGCCCACCATAAACAGATTAATTGCATTTACAATATTTCTTTGTAACCGCACAGTACGTGTTTAATGAAGATGCTGATGAATGATCTTGATTCGGTAAAAAGTATGTTTCGTGTGGCCAAATCAAGATTGCCGACGACCGTCGCTACAGATGTCTGGACTCCGGGTGCTGTAAAAATTTTTTTTTTTTTAAATGTGTTACCGCAAAACATAAAGATTTTGTCCCACAAAGAAAAAACTAATTATTATTTGATCTAAAAACTAATCTACAAAATCGATCTTGATACAATTTCTATGGGATCAATCAGTAAGTATTGTTGTTCTATGTATTCTCCTAACCACAGGTTATCCGTAAGAGATTGCCTTAACGGTAAGACCGCTCTTTGTACCTTAATGTATATATTTAAATATGTACTATACTGCAAAGGCGTTTCTAACATCTGTTTATGTTTAAACAAAATAAAGTCTCTAATAAAGATATTTAAAATAATATATATTGTTATAATAATCTATAGATATATTACATTAAACAATGTTAACACTTTTTTTATACCACTAGAATAGAATTTAGTTAAACAGTGTTCAGGTAAACAGTTCTAATGTTTTTATAGTAAGACCATATGAATGTAAAAATACCCTAAAAAAATATTTCTTACCGAAGTGTTACTATTATACCAGTTCGAGTTCACATTGAGAACGAATCATGATAGATATTACAGTGTCAATGTAGCTTTATTTACATAAGTTTCTGATATACTTACCAGCAGTAATACCCGGGCCGAATGTTAATTGTAGATTATCCTCTTCACTGTATGCAGTCGCCAACATGTGATTAAAATCAATCGTTGGTGATAAAGGAACAATTGTAGTTATGTGCGTCCGACCTGTATAACAAGGTAATACAGTATAATATTGGTTTGTTTTCCCGACATAGAATAGGTCACCTCTTCCTTTCCAGGGGGGAAAGGGATTGTTAGCAATGGAGATTGACAGCCCTATTGTTAGCAATATGCCCTATTAGGTCGACCTCCACGTGGTTCCCCCTGGAAACCATCGTGAACAATTCTTATTGAATTCGTCACGATGGGCTAACTGACCTGCTTCATCCTCACCTGTCATCCTTCACTGGTGCCCCGCCGGTGTATACCGATAGCGCGGGTGGGGTTACCATTGCATTATCACCCATTAAAAAAAAACCTTTTGCTTTCCCATTGGTGTCATAAGAGGCGAGTTAAAGAACTTAATGGTCGAGCAATAGACAGCAGCTTCCTATTAAAACATCACCGAAGCTTAACTGCGGTTGTCAATCTGCCGGCTAAGCGGCTAACCCTTCCTTTCCCTCCTCCTTATGGGGAAGCCTATGTTTAACAGTAGACAATTAACGGCTAATATGAGTATATATCTTGCCGTGTGTGCCCCGGTATAGAATAAGACCAGCCCTTCTTCCCTGGGTGTCGTAAAAGGCTACTAAAGAAGAACGAGGAATGAACAGCAGTTTCTCTCCTTTTAAAACATCTCTAAAAGCCTAACTGTGTTTCTCAAACCACCTGCCAAGAGTGACAACTACTGACAAAACTTTCCTTATGGGGAAGGCTTATGTTCAGCAGCGGACAGTTACGGCTGAAATACTAATAAAAAATGGGTATATCGCCGCATGAGTATAGTCCCGGTATAGAATGGGTCACTCATTCTATTCGCATGGATGTCGTAAAAGGCGACTGAGAGAACATAATGGTAGAGCTATACGTAGCAGCGTGCGTTTTAAAATTTCACGGAAAACTGGCTGTGATTGCCAACTCGCCAGCCAAGCGTGGCAACTACATCCCCTTTATGAGGGAGGCCTATGTCCAGCAGTGGACAGTTAACGTCTGATAGAATAAAAATAACTTACGATATACTATGCGTGATCGATCACCAGTCACAATGGGCACTTCACGTCTACGATGGAAGTACACCACGGTATTCTCGACGGAAACATCTATCTTGTCAAACCATACAGCTATCACTAATTGATTGGTATTTTTGTTAATGCTGTAAATAATTAAAATCGCATTTTATACAAAAATAGTAAAAATAATGTGATTTTTTTACTGGGTACAGAGGAATAACACCTGAGTCCTCAGGAATGGCAACGCATGGGGGGTATCATGGACGAAACAGTATACACTATTATGTCTATGGTACTGCTCACGTCTATAGGTGACGGTTACCACTTTCCATCAGGTGGACCGTCAGCTTGTTTGCCATTCTAAGTTGTACAAAAAAAAAAAGTTTAATTGTCTTCATTTATATCTACTATTTATTATTCTTTTATCCAAATTGTCTAACTTTTCTTCTTTTCTTATATACCTATTTCTTTTCCTCTTTACCTTACATAAGGGATTGCTATATACCTCATGTTATTATGCATGGTAAAGAAGTGTTATTTGCTGTCTAAAAGCATGAACATTGTCATCATCATCATTCTATTAGGTTCTAGATACAAATGGAACCCTATTGTCACAAATTACGTTATAACACATTATATTTTAGGATTCTCTTACAGTTAACATATAGTTTTCTAGTTTAAGAATTATTGGTCCATCAGACTATATCCAGAGGGAGACTTTGTATAAAAGTTTCTGTGTATCTACCATGAAATAGCTATGCTTGCATGGTCGAGCTTGGGTGTGAAGAATGGAATATGGCTGTAAAATTGCTAGGATACGGAAATGGCATGCCTCAAGAATGGCAACGTATGATGACTATTGGCATCAGAGTGTATTTTATGATGGTCTTATTCATATTTAATTACCATTTTTAATCAGGTAGACTGTCAAATTGTCATTTTTTTTGCCATTCTGAGTTGCATAAAAAAAAACAAAAACATACTGAAAATCCTCGATTTCTCCGTTTAAACCGCTTAAGTTGCTATTAATGTGAATAACGGTTATATTAAAGTCAACCAGGTAGATGAGACTGTATTCTCGAAGGTACGGGTCGGGAACACGGTTGAGTGGCCGATCGCAGTTACTCCTGGAGTCTATGAACTTCTGCATGCATTCAAGGTCGCCTCTGTAACAGGGACGGATGATTTCTTCTGGAGCATATTCATGCTGCACTGGAAACGCAAAATTTTATATACATATCTTCCTCTAATTGTAATAATCTGGTCTTCGTTCAATCGTGGATATTTCCAATATGAAATATATATGGTTATATAAACTATTAAAAAGCATGTGTTAAATCTTAATAAGAAATATCAATTAAATAACTATTTTCGAGTATCAAAGCCTACGTTTCATAAAATAGGAAAATTAAGATTGACAAATAAATATAAACATTGACATTACATCTCTTTCCTTAACAACATAACAGAATCATACCTCAAAACTGCAGAAATAAAACGTCTACAAAAACAGATGAAGTTTATTTAGGCATAAATAAACAAAAGTCGGAAGAAGGGTTCTTGAGTAGCGACCTCGTATGGACAACCGCAGTGTGGGCGAATGCCCCAACTACAAGAAGTGACGACCTCAAATCCATTACAGGGAGTCAGTGGCTCAGGATGACTAAGGACCGTTCCTTATGGCAGCCTATGAGGGAGATCTATGTCCAGCAGTGGACGTATAATAGCTGATGAGGAATAATAAGTTACCATGTGGTTCCGGTAACTTGATTCTCTTGCAGAATGAGCCATCACTTCCATTTCCGTTGGTAAACTTAATGGTTAAGGAATGGGCAACAGAGTTACTCGTAAATGTTGATTTAAGCAAAGCCTAACTGCGGTTGCCAAACTGAACAACCAAACGTGACAACTACTGCCAAAATCCCCTTATGGATGATGCATACGTCCAGCAGTAAACAGTTAACGGCTGATATGATACCACGATAAAGGAACTATTTACCTGTTAAGAACTGATCGTGAATTTATATAAAACCAAATATGAAATACTAAAATGCATTGAAAAAACCTATGTGGATAACAAAGACTTCAAAGCAACACATCCATCACTGCACCGGAATCAAAAGAATTTCGTTAACGATGTGAAAAACTTTGAATTGATAAAACGTTCAGAGATTTGAAGTGTGTATTTATATTTACCTGCTTTGACACTGATGCAGAAAATCGCCAGAAGAAAATACACTTGGTCCTTCATCTTCATATCTTGAGTTAAACTCAAAGAGTTGATGGATTTTATACTTAGACGATTGCGTGTTAGAAAATTAGGGATTAGCGCGTTTGTTTTAAATCATTGTTCGTATTATGCAAGGTGAGATTTCCAAGTGTGCGTGAACGGTTAGATTACTATATTACTTTTTTTATGAAATACATGAAAAATATTGTTGAGGTCCAGTTTGATAAATAATTAAAGTCTGCACTATTTTTCTTAGCGAGTAATAAACCTGTTGATATCGAAAAAAGTTATTATACCAAACAATTGTGTTATTTATAAAGACCAATAAGATCTTCTTAAAATTTAATTTTTTATAAATAAGTAAAAGAAAAAGTGAAACTACCTACTTTAAAAAGAACTTGGCGTAAAGATAGATACAAAAGGAGAATTAAAAATATATATACAAATAATTGAATAGTAAATCGACAGTAGTATACCATGGAAAAATTGGAATGATATTGATTAAATAGCATGTATTGATGATTGCATATCTAGATGTAGAATCTCTAGGTCTAGATCTTAAAATATGTTTTCATTATGGCAAATTGTCCCATTCCTATGGGAAAATATGAAATCGTTGCGCAAGTAAAGCTACTAACAGACAAAGTTATAGAAATGGTATAGAAAGTCACACTCCCATATTTTTTTTTTTCAAATTTTTAAACATTTTCTGTCATACACACCTTGTTGTATCAATTACAAATACAACAGAAAAAAAAAGAATTAAATACATGCAGCCATTCTAAAATAACATACATTTGGCAAATGATTTTTAATAATATAATTATAAATTGTTATTCATTTTACCAATTCTCACACTATTTTTATATTGATTATTACAATCACCTACTTAAGCTACTTTATTTATGTATATTAGCCAGCATGTGAATCATACTACAATGACTCAAATACTGGCAGTCTGGATGGTCCCCAAATACACTTAGGATAGTGTCAAAGCTGGCCTGGACTCTACGCATCAGAGATGTACAGTATTTTCACATAGTAACGTAGAAACAACACGCGCTTCAGCTAACATTCCCAATGCATTATAAAACTGGAACATTCCCAACAGTACCCTAAATACATTATTGTATTGAACTCTGTACTATTTCTGAGTATAAAAAGCCCATAAACTACTCGTCTGAAAGGAAGTACAAAATGCTCTAAAATTAGTGATTTTGATGTCTCTTGAACAATGTGAAAACTTGCAAGCAATCATGTTTGCACTCACGGACAACGCCCTACGCTTACTCTCTCTCTCTCTCCATATCGTCTCTCAGGTTAGAGGTTAACATGTGACCGAGTTATTTAATGTGTTCCACCTTATGTAACAGGGTATTGTTTAATTTAATGGGTGGTGGTAATCTAAACACTTACTCTGACCTGAAAGACCATACACATTATTTTCCTCACATTATACAGCAGGTCGTGAGTGCGGGCATATTTTTCAAATATGCCAAGCTTCGTCAAACCATCAGCCAATGCACTCAGAAGCACCACATCGTTCGCGTAGCTAATATTATTGAGAAAGGGGAAAGGAATTGTTAGTAATGTGGACTACCAGTCCCATTGATACAATATACCCTGTCAAGTTAACGCCCACATGATCCCCCTAGAAACCATCGTGCTGAATTCGAGGTATTTTCGTCACGATGCGTTAACTGGCTTGCCTTTTCATTCTCACCTATCATCTCGCACTGGTGCCCCGCCAGCGTATACCGTTAGCGTAGGCAGGGTTGCCATTCCATTTTATCCATAAAAGAAATATTATTGAGACAAACTGCGTCAATATGACAGCTTGCATATAATGCATTCTGTTATCAAATGAAGTCCTTGTTCTGGAGCGATATGTATACATACTGAGAGATGATGATAATGAGAAATGATACGCATACTTTAATATTATATAATATTTTTTTGTAAATACATATACATATAATACCCAGACAAACAGACATATTCATGAATACAAATATTTGTATTGTGCGAGGATCGAACCTGCTATCATCAGAGTTTAAGGCAAATCGCTACACCACCACGCTCGTCTTTATACTTATTACAGTACGTATTTTCAACCGACTTTAAAAGGAAGGAGGTTCTATTTTTTAAATATTTTTTTAAATATTTAAATAAAACCTTATGAGTTATGAAGTAAGGGTTATAAGGTAACAAATATTTGTCACCTTATAACTCCGTCAATTCTCAACCGATTTCGATAATTCTTTTTTTATCTGAAACAATATACTTATAGATAGATCCCATAGATTTTTTTTTCAAAATCAGTTCATTAGTTTAGTTTTTAAATGAAAATAAAGGTTTTTTTTTCACAATTGAAGTCGGTTTTTTTGTGGGATACAATCTTTAATTATTATATTAAGGATAAAATAAAATAAAAGAAATATTATATACATATTTAATTTTGATTACAAATATTTGTCACCTTATAACTCCGTCAATTCTCAACCGATTTCGATAATTCTTTTTTTATCTGAAACAATATACTTATAGATAGATCCCATAGATTTTTTTTTCAAAATCAGTTCATTAGTTTAGTTTTTAAATGAAAATAAAGGTTTTTTTTTTTCACAATTGAAGTCGGTTTTTTTGTGGGATACAATCTTTAATTATTATATTAAGGATAAAATAAAATAAAAGAAATATTATATACATATTTAATTTTGATTACAAAGTGAAATATGTTTATTTAGAAATATGTAAATAAGCCAGATTATCTGTAAGAGATTGCTTATAGCAATAAGACCGCCTTTTGAATATGCACATTCTGTATAAATACTCCTTGTATACATCTCTATTGCGCAATAGAGAGTTTATTATTATTATTATAAGCAAGTACTTTTATTTGGAAAGTGCATAAGAAGAAATATATCCAATTAAAAAAAAGCATGTTACAAGACTACATCGTAGCCGCAAAGTACATTTTGTATGAAGATGCGTATGTATGATCTTGCTTCAGTGAGGAAAGCGTTTCTTACAGCCAAATCAATGTTGGCCATAAAAGATGCAACATTGCCCTGCACAATGGGCGCTGTAAAGATAAAACATTATTAATTTACATTCTAATTTTGTTGTATCAGCCTTTAATTGTCCACTGCTGAACATAATTCCCCCATAAGAGGGGTTTACCAGTAGTTGCCACGTTTAACAGACAGGTTGGCAACCGCTGTTTGGCTTTTGATGATCTATTAAGAGGGATGCTGCTGTCCATCCCTCCAACATAAGCTCCCTTAGTCGCCTCTTACGACTCCCATAGGAAAAGGACCTACACGGCTAATTTTGATTTGACTTCAGTTTTTTTATTGTATTTCAATATTTTGTTATATTTATGTAAATCTAACTAATATAATAAAACTGTTTGTATATATATATATATATATATATATATATATATATATATATATATATATATATATATATATATATATATATATATTAAAAAAAAAAAACTAATATGAGGAGGTCGTAATAATAGCAATAGAAGTTAAAACAGTATTTTTTAGAAATTTCGTCTGTCTGTTTGTCTGTTTATTTGTTCCGGCACCACGCAAAAACTACTACACCAAACTGGATGTGGTTTTACAGTTGTATTCCTGAAAGGCTACCTTAAAATCTGGTGCATGTTTTATCTTGAAGTAATTTATTTCTTCAGTGAAATACTGTATTTCAGAAATCTACTCGTACAAATGAGTAAAAAAAATATGATTGATTAAAACTAATGTTCTAGCACAAATGTGAATTAAACCAGAGGGAGACTTTGTACAAAAGTCGTTTGCTTAAGCACTTTTGTCCCATTCGTGTTTCTACTGTGAAGCAGTTATGTTTGCATAGCTGTATTTCGGTTTGAAGGGTAGGATATGGTAGTGAATTTACAGGGTACAGAAGAATAACACCTGAGTTCTCAGGAATGGCAACGCATGGGGAGTGTCATGGGTGAAGCAGTGTACTCTGTTATGTCCATGATACTGCTCATGTCTATAGGCGACGGTTACCACTTTCAATCAGGTGGGCCGTCAGGTTGTTTGCCATTCTAAGTTGTATAAAAAAAGTTGGTTCTTGAAGTTTCCGGAATACTTACAAGGGTGGTTGTTGATTCCTGATCCAAAACCATATCGTGGGTTACCATCTTCACTATATCCGTATACCACCGTGTAACGGAAATCAATTGTTGATGATAACGGAGTAGTTGTTGTTATGAGTGTGCGGCCTAAAAAAAGCTTAATACGGTAGAATCTGGTATTTTCCAAATATCGATTATGCGAATATTCGATTATCCGGACTTATTCTTTACGGCTCTAATTACTGATTTAGAAATGTTAGATTTAGAAACACATGTTGTGATGATTATTTTCAAACAAAAATTTAAATTACATTGGCATTATCTTTATAGCTCGTATTTTTTTTATATCATATGGTTAGACCATGACATAAGTCAAATTAAACAATAAAAAAAAATTAATTATCGTTTGATTTGACTTTGAAATCGATTATCCGGATTTTCGATTATACGGTTTACGATTATTCCTGATTTTATTTGAATCGGATAATCGAGATTATACTTGTATTATATTATTAAATTACCTAGAAGAACAAAAACAATTATTGCAAAAAAGTAGTAATTGAGGAAGATTGCGTTATCAATACTCAGGGGCATGCATTCAGCAATTATTAATAATGATAGAATCAGAAGATATAATGTTTTTTTTTTTTAAACAAAAGTAATTTTTCTAAGGTGCCCAGTTTATTACCGTCAACATTTTTCAATTTTTGCAACTCTTTTTGCATTCTGTGAAATTTTATATTATATTTGTGACATTATAGAACTAAAATCATCATGCTTCTTACTTGATAAAAAGCATGAAGCATATTGATTTTCAATTTCGATTATTTATTTGCAATAAATTATTGCTTGATAAAAATCTAAATATATTTTTATATAAAAAATGACACATTATGAGTTATGAGGTAAGAGTTTGTTTAACAAACATTTGTTACACCACAACTGGGTCAGTTCTAAACCAATTTCGAAAATGTTTTTCTTTATCTGAAACAATATACTTACAAATAGGTCCCATAGAAATTTTATTAAAATCAGATTAGTAGTTTATTTTTTAGATCAAAATGACTGGTTTTATGACAGTTAAAGTTAGTTCTCTTTATGGGCCATAAACTTTAATTATTTCATATTTAGCTGAGAGAAAATTTCATCCGGTACAAGTCTACATGGGTTTCATCGATTTTGTAGATATACATCAGTAGCTTTTTTAAACAAATATTTATGCCCATATATGTATATGGATATTGTACTTACGATATATAATGCGGGACCAATCGCTAGTTACAATAGGAACTCGTCCGTTTCGATGGTGGTAGACCACAGATCTCTCGGTAGGAACGTCTATTGTGTCAAACCAAACCGCTATCACAAGTTGATTGGTTCGTTTGTTAACGCTGTAAATTAATATAATTGTATGTAAAAATAAAATTATAATTTTTATACTACTACTGTGGCAAACAACCATACGGTCCGTCTAATGGGAAACGAGGTTACCGTAGCATATGGACGCCTGCAACGCTAGAGATGTGACGCGCGATACTGACCTTTAAGAATCTTTAATACGACCTGTTTGAAGAACTCCATGTTGTAATCTCTAAAAAAAATCTCGGCAGGAAAACATTTCACAATCTAAGCGTTTGTTTTTTGTTTTGTTTTTTACTACACAGGGGGCAAACGAGCATGCGGCTCACCTGATGGTAAACGCCCACCGCCGCCCATGATCACCCACAACACCAGCGGCATTGCAGGTGTGCTGCCGGCCTTTTAAAAAGGAATATACTCTTTTCTTCAATGTTATGTTGTCGGATCGGTTCGGAAATACAGCTGCTGGAAGTTGATTCCAAAGAATGGTTGTGTGTGAAAGAAAGTGCCTTGAAAAACGCACAGTGGAAGAGCGCCGCTCGTCCAGATGATTGAGATGAAACTTAAGTTTGTGGCGGATTGTACGGTGGTGAAAATCAATGGTTTGTGGAGGGAAACTCCTCTAAAACCGCAATGTGCGTGACCATTTTGGTTCCAGAGTGTAAGTATGAATTCTCTGCCAATGATGAGACATGCGATGGTAAAAGGTGACTGTAAGTATCATATCGAAAAGTTCTTCAATACATAATCTTTTATATAGACAAAGACTCGTCTTAAACTAAGGTTTAAAGGGTGGGATCATCATCATATCAGCCCTTAACTGCCCACTATTAAACATAAGCCTCCCCCTTGGGGTGTTTTTAGCCAGTATTTGCCACGCTTGGGATGTATGGGAAGGGTAGGATACGACAGTGAAATTACAGGGTACGGAAACATCACTGCTTTGTTCTCAAAAATGGTAGCACATGATGGATACCATGAGCATCATAATGTAGGTATTCTGTGGCAAACATGGTACTGGTCATGTTCATAGGCGACAATTAGCGCTTTTCCTCAGATCAATCATAATTATATTTGCTATTTCAAGTTGCATAAAAAAATATTAAACTGTGTAAAGATTTAGAAATACATACTGAAATTCCTTAATAATTCCATTCAAACCGCTTATCTTGCTATTAATATTAATTACGGTAATATTAAAATCGACGTAGTTAAGTATACTATTATCTCGGAGGTACGGGTCGGGAACTCGTCCAGGCGGTGGATAACAGTGGCGTCGCGAGGCTAAGAACTTCCTCATGCAGTTAAGATCGTCTATATGACACGGCCGGTATATTTCATCCTCTTCGTTATCCACCAAAACTAAAAAAAAAATTTACATAAGAAGTAAAATTTTTTTTTCTACCAAATTTTATCGTTTGTTAAAAACGTTGTAATTACTTGTTGTCCGCGGATTTATCCACGTACATTCTTTTATAAAGTATTCTAAGAGCAGTTGACATGAAACTTTATATGAACATGTACTATTTGGAATAAAACACCTTGAAATAAACTTTAATCCGAGTACAAAAAAAAAATAATAATTAATAAAAAAATATTACAAAACCTTTAACTTAAGAATAATATAAATCATTATACAAAGAGATTAAACGATTGTAAACTCTAAACTGTTTGGTTTAAAGTTTCATTTTTGCTGATGTGTGTATTCATCATCATCATACTGACGTGATAACGGCTGACCGTTAACTGTCCACTGCTGAACATATGCCTTCCCCTTAAGGAGAATTTTTGCCAGTTGCCATATTTAGTGGCCATACTTGGCAGACGGTTTGGTAACTGTAGTTAGGTTTTTGGCGATATTATAAAAGGGACGCTGCTGCCCAGCCCTCGATCATTAAGCCCCTTTAGTCCTTTCTTATGACAACCACAGGAAAGGAAGGGATGAGCCATGTGCACGATGTGTGTACTATGTAGGTATATATACATATACATACTCACTTGCTCTAACGCTAACACAAAAAATAGCCAAAAGAAAACAATACACTTGCCCCTTCATCTTCACAACTTGTGCTAATCGCGAAGTGAGTGAGTATAGATCTATAAGGAATGTTATATACCTCACATGATTGCGTGAGTGAAGTAAGTTTAATGTATTTGTGTTAAATGGTTACTCATGTTCACTGCTGATGATATAATAATGATAAGATCAAGTCATTTATTAAAGCGCCGACTGACTTTAAACTAATAAAAAAATTTTGTCAAAACAATTGTCATTATGACAAAGTATACCTTTTTTCCGGTTTTTACTTAATGGATGATAATGAAATGGTAACCCCGCCTGCGCTAACGGTATACGCTGGCGAGGTACCAGTGATGGATGATAGGTGAGAATGGAAAGGCAAGTCAGTTAGCCCATCGTGATGAATACACTTGGAATTCAGCACAATGGTTTCCAAGGGGGACTACATGGAGGTCGACCTGGCAGAGTATATTGCTAGTAATGGGACTGGTAGTTTGCATTACTAACAATCCCTTTCTCCCCCACTTTTTTCCGGTTACCCTCATTATAATTATAAATTATGTGAAAAACAGTTTGTTTACACATTAACATCTCGATTAATTATTACCTAATTTCATTGTATTGTATTGTAAAATCTTTATTGTACATAATTCACATTGAACATTGATAAATATTCATATACTGATATGATATATATATATATATATATATATATATATATATATATATATATATATATATATATATATATATACGTACTGTTTAAAATAAAAAGAATATATACCTTACATTTTATTTCGATCAATCAATATACTCAGGTCACGCAGATGACGTCGCTGGTAAAAACCTGTTACATATTAATCGACTTTAAAAACATTCAATTCGCTTGTATTTTTTTTTTTGTACATATGTTGTGCGATATCTTCGACCGTTCTGAATATGATATGATATTACTATTTACTAGCTTTCGCACGCGATTTCGTCTGCGTGACGGTAATGTATAGCTATACACAATAAATAATATATACATAAATAAGATAGAATAATTATTATAATATATACATACATAAAAATAAATAAATTTATTACAAATTAATAAATAAATAGACATAGGCTATTATTTACCTCAATCAATCAATATATATTATCTAAATTATATGAACGATGTCGCTGATAAAATTAATAAGATCATATCTTATATATTTTTAGTCATTCTTAATCTACCTTTACTTCAGACCACAGTCACTTTGATCGCAAAACGTCTATTAACAGCAATTATTGGAAATAATGATGAAAATGTTTGTTTATTTCATCCTACCACTTAACCGTCAAAATTTAATGCATCTTGATTATTGCTACATAACCTTATATCATAATTACCAATTTAATAACGTAAAGGAAAACGGAGTCGATCAGTGGATCAAAAAACAACCAATTTCATAAAATCCACGACCTTTGTTGTCAGCTACTTGGCATCAGAGATCTTCAACACTTAGAGCCGACTAAAGGAATTCAGTATAATACTTGTGTCATCATCATCATCATCAGCCGTTAATTGTCCACTGCTGAATATAGACTTCCCCCTATTGAGGGATTTTTCAGTAGGTTCCAAGCTTCGCAGGTAGGTTGGCAACAGCAGTTAGGCTTTGTTAATGTTTTAAGAGGGGCTTAGAACTGACGGAGTTATAAGGCAACAAAGTAAAAAAAAAATATAACCAATTTGAGAATATCCTTCTTTTTGAAGTAGGTTAAAAATTAGAAAGAAGAACAATTTCATTCAAAATCACTTTAACCTTTTTAATACATATATAAGCGTTTTAGTTTCTTTTTTTATTGAGATAAATGAAATAGTGACCCCTAAGGAGATACCAATGAAAGATGATAGGACAAATTCGAGTCATTTAGCCCCTCGTTACAAATTCATTGGGAATCAACCAAAATTGTTTTCAAGGTTGATCACGAGGTAGTTGATCTGATTTAGTATTATGCTAGCAATGGGGCCGCTAGTCCCCGTTAATGAGGATATCTCCTTCCCTTCCCTCATACTTCAGTTTAGGTGGGTTGTTCAGTATTACGTTCGTAAGTTATTATTCTAACCTAAACTTGAAAAGAAGCGGGTGAAGCAAACGTGGCAAAGTTCGACACTGTTTGCAGAGTGAATGGATGAGTCGTTATATTAAACCGAGGGATACCGCACTCAATTTCATGAAAAAACTTTAAACGACCCTCAAACGTGCACCAGTTAAAATTTGGATCTGGTATCTTGTTTAACAATAATCTTATTTATTTTTAATCAAATTCAAAAAGGAGAAGGGTATTGTATGCGATAATTTCACTTATTATTTATTATTTTAAAATTGAAAAAGATTTTTTATTTTCATGTACAAATTTATTTTCTTAAAATTTTATACCTTTCTTATCAAAATTAGTATTTTTGCTTCATACATATTTAGATTTCAGGAAAGTAACTTCTGACAAATTGCATTTTAATTTTATTATATAATAGAACTAAGAATAACTAACACGCTGACGGTCCGCTTGATGGGGAGTGATAAATTTCCAGAGGACTGCAGTGCTATACCCTATATGTTGGTCAATGCCTTTATACAAGGTCATTCTCTGATATTTACAATTTTAATCTAGTTCTTAAGACAAGACTGATTGCCAATAAAATATCTTAATCTGTAAATACAAACATGCAAAATAAATTCATTTAATTTCTTTTCACTTCATTTAATTTCGTTTCATTTCGTTACGTACATAAAGTTATATTTAAAACTTTCGTGTTTCAACCGTGAAGCAGTTGTGTTTGCATGGCTGTGTTTCGGCTTGAAGGGTGGGATATGGCGTGAATTTACTGGGTACAGTACAGAAGAATAACACCTGAGTCCTCAGGAATGGCAACGCATGGGGGTATCTTGGGCGAAACAGTATACTCTGTTATGTCCATGGTACTGCTCATGTCTATAGGCGACGGTTACCACTTTACATCAGGTGGGCTGTCAGCTTGTTTGCCATTCTAAGTTATATATAAAAAGAAAGTAGAAATAATAGAATGAAAAATGTTATGATTGAAACAAACCTCTTTTGTTTCCTTCATATACATCAATTTACTTATACATTTTTAACTTAAAATATATACTGAAATAAAAAATATCATACCGCATCCAACATTTAAAAACTTCACTCCCTATATGAAGATAGAAACAACTTTTTGACGCAGTCACGCCAAAGAGCCTCTTTATGAAGTAATTGTTACCTAAAGTTATTTTTATATTAAATTTCCTCATGCTCAAACTTATCGCATAAACTGAAATTCTATTTTGTTTACACTTCACTAATCTACTAGCTGCATCCCGTGCCTTTTCCTGCATTAATCATAAAAATATACTATATTTTTTATGGGAATTGACCTAAAGATACCTAATGAAATAGGGATACAAGAATAATACTTCCATGACGAAATATTAGCAGTGTGGCGTTCACCATAATCGCAACGATTAACAAATGCTTCTGTCTACCAAATTAAGAATTATAATCGTGAGAATATTTATTTATACCTTTGTACATAGAATAGAATGAGCCACTAAAGAGTGGCACTAAAGAGTGGAAAACCTTTCCCGTGCATATCGTAAGTGGTGACTAAGGGAACTTAATGGTCAAAAGATGAGCAGCAGCGTCTCTCTTAAACATCACTAAAAGTAACCACTGATTTCTGATACTGATACGACAACATAACCTTCAAGAAAAGAGCATATTCCTTTTTAAAAGGCCGGCAGCACACCTGCAATGCCGTAGGTGTTGTGGGTGACCATGGGCGGCGGTAGTCACTTACCATCAGGTGAGCCGCATGCTCGTTTGCCCCCTGTGTTGTAAAAAAAAAACCAACCCGCCTGCCAAGCGTAGCAACTACTAGTAAAATCCTTCTATGTGAGGAGGCCTATATTCAGCGATGAACGGTTAACAGCCAATAAAATGATGATGATGTTGAAGAATTGTTATTTTAATCCTTACATCAAATACGGAAGTAGGTATTACATACATACATACCAGAGGGAGACTTTGTACAAAAGTCGATTGCTTGGGTACCTCAGTCCCATTCGTGTTTCAACCGTAAAGCAGTTGTATTTGCATGGCTGCGTTTCGGTTTGAAGGGTGGGATATGGCGTGAATTTACTGAGTACGGAGGAATAACACCTGAGTCCTCAAGAATGGCAACGCATGGGGGTATCATGGGCGAAACAGTGTACTCTGTTATGTCCATGGTACTGCTTATGTCTATAGGCGACGGTTACCACTTTCCATCAGGTGGGCCGTCAGCTTGTTAGCCATTCTAAGTTGT